GATGCAAAAAGTGAGATTGACATTTTACTCACAGGACAAAAAACGTAAGTCATGTTTGTACCCCATTGTATTCAGTTTGTACAATATATTTTGAAAATTTATTTTTGTCTCTAAACTGAGCAGATGTTCAAGGTCAACATTCCCAGCTAGAAATTTAGAATCCCTTGTCCCTTAACCCCAGGATTTACTGAATCAAAACCTGAATTTTGACAAAATCTGTCAGTGATTTGTTACATATTGAAGTTTAAGAAGTGCAGTCTATAGAACACTACTTTTGGGGGATGAAACCTTTTTTTAAAAATTACCATAAATTGTTTAAATGAATTCTTATTGGATCCACTTGCCTCTTGGATATACAGTTTTAAATTATGTGATCAGTATCTGGCAAACCTAGATCATCCTGTCTTAAGTTCCTTATAACAATTGCCATTTTTATAACCATGTCTACTGACATTTTTATAACTGAGCCACACCCATAAGGTGTGGCCTGGAAGGTAAAGAGCTGGAAAGATTTGATAGAAGTCACTGAGGACTATTACACACCTAAACCAAAAATTCTGCCCAGCTGGTGTGGCTCAGTGATTGAGAGCTGACCTAAGAACCTGGAGGTCAGGTTTCGATTCCTGGTCAGGGCATATGCCTGGATTCAGGCTCGATCTCCAGTGTGGAGTGTGGAGTGTGCAAGATCAATGATTCTCTCTCATCATTGATATTTCTATCGCTCTCTCCCTCTCCCTTCCTCTCTGAGATCAATAAAAATATTTTTAAAAATATATTTTATTGATTTTTTACAGAGACGAAGGGAGAGGGATAGAGAGTTAGGAACATCGATGAGAGAGAATCATCGATCAGCTGCCTCCTGCACACTCCCTACCGGGGATGTGCCCGCATCCAAGGTACATGCCCTTGACCGGAATCGAACCCGGGACCTTTCAGTCCGCAGGCTGACGCTCTATCCACTGAGCCAAACTGGGTTTGACAATAAAAATATTTTTTAAAATTATGTGGTGGCCAAGAAGGTGTGGGTCTTTACAAGAGGGTTGGTGAATTCCTGATACACAGTTTCTTTTCAGGAGTCTGGGTGAGATAGCTGTAGGTCTTAGAGATGGCAGCAAAGGTGGCTTTGGCAAAGTAGTCCGGGATAGCAGTGTAGCCCCTGGCCGAGGTATAGCAGTTGTCAATACTGGCCATCAGTTGCAGCTTCTTGGGCACAGGGGCTGAGATGATGCCAATACAGGTAGTTCTGGGGCAGAGATGAGGCACACTAGCATAGACCTATAGCAGCTGGTCATCTTGTAAGCGGGATGGTGTGGGGCTTGCCGATCTTGTTCCTCCAGTAGCCTCACTGCACAGGGACAATGGAGAGCTTGATCAGGATGATGACTCCACAGATACAGTGGCTACTTCCTTGGACCACTGGAACCAGGTCCTCTGGCTAGTGTGTTTGCTTTTGCAGGGGCATATATTTCAAAACCTCATCCTTGAGTGATGCCCCCAGGAGAAAAGTCAATAATCTCAGATTCTTGGGCGCACAGGGAGAAGATACAGATATTCTCCAGGGATTTGATCATGTTCTTAACCAGGTGACCCAGCTTGGTGACAGGGATCCACTCCTAGTTCTTGTTCATGCCTCTGCTAGCTGCATGGCCTCAGCCCAGTCCTGACCCCCACCATGACCTTGGCCTTGGATGCTGCTGCCAAATCCTCCATGGAAGTTACTGCAGTCTCCCATTCCAAGGCCCCTGGAATTCCAGGCCTTCTTGTAGCACTGGTGTCATCTGCATTTGGTGTTTTCTTGGAGAAGAAGCTCTATCCACTAAGCCAAACCAATTAGGGCGAAAGCAAAGTTATTATTATTAGAATAAGAGGCCATCTAAAAAATAGCAGAAAATTCCAAACAGTAGTTTTACATAGGGGTAAGCCTTCTCAACTTAGATTACATATATGAGTGAGATCATGTGATACTTGTCTTTCTCTAACTGGCTTATTGCACTTAGCATGATACTCCCCACATCCTTCCATGCTGTCTCAAGGGGTAAGAGATTTTTCTTTTTTACTGCTGCATATCATTCCATGGCATAAATGTACCACAACTTTTTTTATCCACTCATCTACTGATGGGCACTTGGGCTCTTTCCAGATCTTAGCTATTGCACATTGAATTGCTATGATCATAGTGGTGCATACATTCTTTCTGATTGGTGTTTTGGGATTCTTGGGATATATTCCTAGAAGTGGGATCATTGGGTCAAATGTCAGTTTCATATTTAAATTAAAAAATATATTTTTATTGATTTTAGAGAGGAAAGGAGAGGGAGGGAGAGATAAAAACATCAATGATGAGAGAGAATCATTGATCAGCTGCCTCCTGCATGCCCCACAACATGGGCATGTGCCCTGACCAGGAATCGAACCATGACCTCTTGGTTCATAGGTCGACATTCAACCACTGAGCCATATTTATGGTGAGCCTTGAGGCTTGGGGTTTGGGTCCTGGTGGCGCCACTACAGGTATAGATCTTGGTGAAGAATTCGCAGATATTGCAGGCAGGCCTGACGGCAGCTGGATGGCTTGGCTTTTCTGCCCTGAGGGGCACAATGAGACTCAATCATGAAATTCCAGCAAAGGTGGTCAATTGCTAATCTTCTTGTGTTTTGCAGATAAGGCCAAATTGAAACTAGACTTAATACAATAGATAAATTAATCTTAATTTGATTCTTTAATAAAAATAAGGGTGATTTTAGGGAGAAAAATTATATTTTAATAGGGAATTATTAAAATTGAAATGCTTGTTTTTTTTTTTAAAGAGAGATTTACAGTATCTATTAATGTAATGCATTGGGGACGTTTTTTTTTCTTTCTTTTTCTAATCTTTATTCCTTTTTTATTTAAAAAATTTTTATTTTAAAAAATATATATTTTATTGATTTCTATTTTTATTTATTTATTTATTTATTTTTTAAATAAATTTTTATTGTTCATATTATTACAAATGTTCCTTTCCCCCCCTTCTCACCCCACCCTCTGCCCTTTCCCCACCCCCCATTGTCCTCATCCATAGGTGCGCAGTTTATGTTCAGTCTCTTCCCACATCCCCCTCTCCCCTTTTCCCCAAGAATAAACAGTTCACTCCCCTTCCATACCTCTGATTCTATTATATTCAACAGTTAATATTGTTCCTCAGATTTTTTTTTTTTTTAGTTTCCTTGGTTTTTAGATTCACTTGTTGATAGTTCGTATTCGTGGTTCATAATTTTTATCTTTATTTACTTTCTCTTCTGAAAGAACCCCCTTCAGCAATTCATATAATTCTGGTTTGGTGGTGATGAACTCCTTTAGCTTTTTTTTATTAGTGAAGCTCTTTATCTGACCTTCGAATCTGAGTGATAGCTTTGCTGGATAGATTATCTTTGGCTGTAGGTTCTTGCTATTCATCACCTTGAATATTTCTTGCCATTCCCGTCTGGCCTGCATGGTTTCTGTTGAAAAATCAGCTGACAATAGTATAGGTGCTCCTTTATAGGTAACTACCTTCTTTGATCTTGCTTCTTTTAATATTCTCTCTTTGTTTTTTGCTCTTGGAATCTTAATTATGATTTGTCTTGGTGTGGTCCTCTTTGGATTCCTTTTGTTTGGAGTTCTGTGCGCTTCCTGGACTTGTAAGTCTAATTCTTTCACCAGGTGGGGAAAGTTTTCTGTCACTATTTCTTTCAGTATGTTTTCGATATCTTGCTCTCTCTCATCTTCTGGGACCCCCATAATTCTGATGTTGGTTCGCTTGAAGTTGTCCCAGAGTTTTCTTACACTATCTTCAACTTTCTGGATTCTCTGGCCTTCTTGTGTCTGCGGAGGAGTGTCTTCTGGCTCTTTATGTTCCAAATCTTTGACTTGATTCTTGCGATCTTCCATTCTGTTTTTAGGACTCCATAAAATATTTTTTATTTCAGACAATGTATTCTTTATTTCTTGTTGATCCCTTATTATTTCTAGTTGATCCCTTTTCATATCCTCATAGATCTTGTTTATTTTATTGGCCTTTTCTAAGAGATTCTTGAACAACCTTATAAGTGTGGTTTTGAACTCTATATCCAGTCGCTTTTTGTCCTTCATTTCTTTCGTTTGTGATCTATTTGGTTTAGGCATTTTCGCAGGCAGCTTTCCTGATGGGGCGGGGTTTCAGGGTGGAGCCTACAGCCTTGGCTTCCGTCAGCCCCGCCCTATGCGACTCCTGAGACTCAGGGTCCTTCAGTACTTGTTGTGAGCGCCTCTGAGAGAAAGGTGCCCTCGATTTTCGCCTGCTGCCAAACTGTCTATGCTCTCCCCTAATGAGTCCGGTATTGGGTTTCAGTTAAGTTGGTAGTGGGATTGGAGGTGGCGTTCAGAGCAATCTGGAGCCCCTGTCTTCTTCCTGTCAGGGCAATCCCGTGGCACAGCCGGCTGGCCCTTCTCTGCGCGCAGTGTGTGCGCCTCCGTGACCTCCTTTCGCCGCTTCCCCGGAGTCTCGCCTTACAGCCCAGCTCCCTATGGATGAGCCTGGGTCCCCGGGGTCTGGCCTAGAATTGGGGTTCAGAGCAGTTGGTGCTGGGTCCAGCACAGTTGGACCTTTTCTCTCCTTCCCGCTTGGGACCGCCAGCCAGGCACTCGGCCTCCCTCCTCTCCGGCTTTGTCCTCTCTGCGCGCCCCGCGTGTCTCTGTACCTTGGGCTTTTACAGCTCCTCCGCGCTTCCTTCTGGTTTTCTCCTTGCTTCTTGTTGTAGAATTTCCAGTCAGTCGACTTTCCTGTAGTTCTGAGTAATGTCCATTTTATATTTTAGTTGTATTTTGTTGAAATTGTTGTGTGCGGCTGCAGCTAGTTGCCTACCCGAGCAGCCATCTTGGGATTCTCTCGAAATGCTTGTTGTTTTGTTTTTTGTATGTTTTGTTCCTTCCACCGGACTATTTGTTGTAATTCTTGCTGTTCTAACTGTTGAAATTTTATGTTTATCTTCATCAGGTTATAAACCCTACTCACACTCAGGGAAGACCACCTCCTTCCATGTCCAGGCATTGTCCCTCTGACAGAGAGCAAGATCTCTTGGCTCTGAAAGAGAACATCCGCCTCCTCCTCAGCATGGAAGTAGCCTCAGAAGTGATGTGACGACCCTTTCCCCTAAAAGAATTTAGAGCCAAGCTCCTTGAGGGGATGTGGTGATGTGGTAGGCAGTTAGACAGACATGATCAGAGCAAGGATGATGGACCAACTGGAGGAGAAATGGATGGGATTCTGTGATGTGCTTCTCACCACTCCAATTGCTCTGAAGCTGGTAATGGAGGAACCTGTCTAGATTCGCCCTCTTCCTTCCTCTTAAGAAAGCCAACAGGTTTTAACACAGCTAATGGAGATAGGATCAATTAGTGTAAGAAAAAGTGGGAATTTGTAAAAAATGGATCTTTGTGACTATCTCCAGCATGGCTGGCTTTTGATGGAATTTACTGAATTTCCCCAGGGCAAACAGAATGTAGGGAGGAGGGAAGAGAAACAAAGAACGGTGCACAGGGGCCAACCTCATGGTGGAAATCCTGGAGGTGCCTGCCTCAGCTAGACCGGGGAGTGGAGGCAGCTAGAAAGGCCTCAGCCCACTATTTTAAATGGTCCAATGGGAGACAGCAAGGCCGGACAAATGAGGAAACAGGTGACCCCATAGTACTCAGCCAATGAGGAACCAGAGGAGGGACTAAATAAGTAGGCTGTGATCACTACTCCATGTGTGCCTGTACAATGGGATGGACCCTGGCTCTCAGGAGTTCCAGTTTTGGAAGCTGAAAAGCTCAAGATCAAGGTTCTACAGGTTTTGATTTTTGGTGATGGTTCTCTTCCTGGCTTGCATTTGACCACTTTATTTCTGTGCCTTCTAGTGGCCTTTCCTCTATGTGCCTTTGCGGTCAATGGCCCCTTTTCTTGAAGAATATTGTTTGTTTGTGCATTGGTAACTCTATTGTCTCATCCCGTAGAATCCCAGAAGTCTTAACAGCCTTCTTGTATTCTGTCTCATTTTTTTTTAATTTAAAGTTTTTAAAAAGTAGGAAAGAACAATCTGGTTGTTCTGTGGAGGATGGATAAGAGAAGGAGACTGAGGCTGGGGCAGGAAGCCAGAGAAGGTGATGACAATGTTGAAGCATAGCAGGGGCAGGTGGGGAAGATACTGAGGAAGAGTGGAGGAAACTTATCCACAGGTTAAAATCTTTCCAGAGAGGAAAGCAGTGTTCTCATTGGGGCAGTACTGATAGGGGCAGAAATGTAATATTGGGGACCAGCTATAATTGTAAGAATCCTTAATCATGCTGTACCATAATTGTTTGATTCTGATTAAAGAAGACACATCTAACCTGGCTGTCATTGTAGGCGGCACCTGGGAGCTCACCTGGAAATGCGGCCCATCCTCCATATCCAGGAGCTGCCTAGTATGGAAAGATGAACAACCTTGTTGCTGAAAGCAGAGCCTCCAGCCCTTTGCATATTGCCAGTCTGCATTATCTGTAAACTGTCCACTTGGCATACCCTTTTGGCTACTTCCCCATGCAGTCTTTGTCCTTCTACCCCATATGAGTGTTATGGGGCAACCTGCAAGAGACAACCACCAGAGACATAGATCAACATTTATGAGCCTTTATTAAACTGGCCAGTGACTACAGTTGATGCATTCTACTGTGGTAAAGGCCGCACTGCAGTGCAGACCTTAGGTGTTACAGCAAATTTATACTCAGAATCCACAAGAGGGAGTTAGGACATTTACAATGACAACCCAAAGGTTACAAAGGTTATTTCAGCAACTCAGGGCACAGGTGCAACGCATGGGCATGCTTGGCCAGAGCTTGAACCCCCACCTCCCTCTAAACTCCAACCCACTGTTCAGTGACCTACTCTACCTCCCTCTGTCCCAAGGCATCCTGCCTGCAGGCAGCAGAGCTGTGCAATGTTTACAGCCCAGAACATAAGCAGCAGGTGTATGGTGGGGGGCAAAGCAGATTTCCGTGGCTGACCTGCTGCTCCCCCAGGCAGGATAGGAATAAACGCTCATACATGATCCAACCCTGTCTCTGCTAAGTGGCTCAAGTAGTGACGGCAGACCCCTTGATTCTCAGGTTACAGTACTTCCCTTCTACTTCTGGATTTTATTCCTGCTGTGCCCATCCCTCAGTAACACTTATTCCTTATCTTCAATACTACCTCCTCCTCAGATTTCCCCTCCCAGGAAAGCCTGCTCTGCCCTTCCCAGGTTTGCTGGGTTACCTCCTCTGGACTCAGAGCTAAATCTCTTTGGATTATGAATGTCTGAAAACCCAATTCCAAGTAGTTTCCTCCCTCCCAAATAAGAAACATCTTGGCGTTCACATTGTTTAAAAAACAAACAAACTGGTGCAGGTGAGGTATGATTCAGCAGCTCAAACATGGGAAGGCATTCAGAATGAGCAAAACCCTCTGTAGTTTGATTGACTAGGTTTGAATCCTGATTCTACCATTCACGGGCAGATGAGTTTGGGCAAGTCTCTCAATCACTCTGGCTTCAGTTTCTCATTTATGAGTTGGGGACAATAAACAATACCTACTTTTCAGTATTGTGGCATTTAAACAAGATAATATGCTTAAGCTCTATGAACAGTGCTTGAACACAAGTGACTGTTCAGTGACTCTCATGGTGATGGTAATAGCGACGTTGAGGAACCAACCTCCTGTTCATCCACATCCTATTGTTTTCTTGGCTCTTCCTAAAAGAATAGGACATGGATGAACCCCAGGCTCTTCCACTTGGCTGAGAACTGGCTTACCCTGCAGCCTTCAAGGTGATGGAGAAAGATGTGGTTTTAGAGGCTAACATGGAAGAGTAGTGTGCTTCTCTTTAGTATAAATATCTGGAGACCATTTATTTAAGTTTCATTGGCTCAGGAAGGTTCACATGCCTACTGTTGAACCAATCTCTGGACCAGAATATGGTTCCCAAACCATATAATGACTGCTATGCTGCACCTCCCCAGACTTCTTTCTTACCTCCTTCCCCAGATCACATACAAAGGGAGCTCTGCCCTTCCAGCTCCTAATGCCATGAGACAATTGTAACAATCCCTACATGCTTTACCATGGTGTAACTGTCAAATGAAATTGTAATATATTTAAAATGTATAACAGGGTGATTTGATATATGTATATGTTGTGAAATTATTAGCATAATCAAGTTAATTAACACATCTGTCTTCTCACATAGTTACTTCTTTTTATTTTGTTACTTTTTATTTTGGTGAGAATGCTTAAGGTCTACTCTCAGCATATTTTAGTATACAGTACAGTATTGTTAATCATATTCACCATGTTATACATTAGAATCTCAAACCTTATTCATTTTATAACTATAAGGTTATACCTTTTTACCAGCTTGTCCCCATTAATCCCACCCTTTAGCCCTTGGCAACCATCATTCTACATTCTGTTTCTATGATTCCACAATTAAGTGATAACACACAGTATTTGTCCTTCTCTGACTTATTTCATTTAGTATAACACCCTTAAGATCCATCTATGTTGCCAAAATGGCAGGATTTCATATTTCTCATGGCTGAATCATATTCCTTTGTGTATATATTCCATATTTTTTACCCATTTATTTTTAAAATATATTTTTATTGATTTCAGAGTAGAAGAAAGAGGGAGAGGGAAATAGAAATATCAATGATGAGACAGAGTCATTGATCGGCTGCCTCCTGCACGACCCACACTGGGGATTGTGCCCACAACCCAGGCATATGCTCTGGCCAAGAATTGAACCCTGACCTCCTGGGTTCATAGGTTAATGCTGAACCACTGACCTACACTGGCTGGGCTATCCATATAGTAATTGTGAGGCACTTAGGTTTTAATTTCCCATATCTTGGCTATTGTGAATAATGCTGTAATGATAACAGGAGTATAGGTACCTCTTTGAGACAGTGATTTTTGTTTTTGTTTTTTGTTTTTTTAATCAATCTTTATTGTTCATATTATTACTAAGGTTCCTCATTTCTTCCCCCCTCCACCAGGTTCCCACCCCAACCTCCGCCCCCTCCCCATCCCCCATTGTCCTCATCCATAGGTGCACAGTTTATGTTCAGTCTCATCCTCCCTCCCTTTCCCCGATAGTAAATCCCTTTTGAGATAGTAAATCAGTTACTTAGCATTTTCTCATATCAATAATACCTCCACATGCCCAATGATACACTTCACACAAAAGACATTTCCAAATAGGTCAACCAGCCTCATCCAGGCCCCACCCAAGGCACTCACAGATCAACACCCCAGCGCTATACTAACTCAGCACATCCAGATCTAAGCCTTCATCACTTGATTCAGCAGACCCTCAAGTTCCCACAAAAGTTTCCAGCCATGTCTGAGAGGCAGCTGTGGAGCAGGGGCAGGCGAGGAGCGAGCTGTTTCGGGTCTGGCTGCTTCGGGCCTGGCCTCTGTTGCTCTGGTTCGTTCCACAGCCAGCTGCTCCGGGTCTGGTCACTGCCGCTCCCGACCTAGTTGCTCTGGACTTGGCTGCTGGTGCTCCTGGCCTGGCCACACCTGACCCGGCTGATCTGGGCCCGGCTGCTCCGGGCCCAGCCACTCCAGGCCTGCCCACTCCTAGCCTGGCAGCTGCTGCTCCGGGCCTGGCCGTACCTGACCCGGCTGCTCCGTGCCTGGCTGCTCCCATCCTGGCAGCCGCTGCTCCGGGCCTGGCTGCTCCCAGCCTGGCAGCTGCTGCTCTGGGCCTGGCCGCACCGGACCCGGCTGCTCCGGGCCTGGTCGCTCCCAGCCTGGCAGCCGCTGCTCCAGGCCTGGCCACTCCCAGCCTGGCAGCTGCTGTTCTGGGCCTGGCCGCACCCGACCCGGCTGCTCTGGGCCCGGCTTCTCCGGGCCCAGCCACTCCGGGTCTGGGTGTTCCTGGACTGGTCACTCTGGGCTTGGCCGCCTCCGCCTCAGGCCTGGCTGCCACTGCCCCAGGTCTGGCTGCTCCAGTGCTGGCTGTTGATGCTCTGGTTCTGGCTGCTGCTTCTCTGGGGCCTGGCTGTTGCTGCTCCGGTCCCAGCTGCCACTGCCTTGTGCCTGGCCACTCTAGGCCTGGCCGCCGCTGTTCCAACATTCTGTTCTTTTTTTTTTTTTTAAAAACGCATTTATGTTGCAATGTTGGCTGGTGAGTTGAGTTCTGACTTAGTCTTTGATTTTTCAAGATCTTCTTTGTATTCTTTCTTAAGTAATTTTACTATCTTTTGCTCTCACTTGATTTCTTCACATTGAGAACTTCTTTGGTTTCTTCCTCCTTATCCTGGGAGCTCAGCAGGTTGGCCTGTGGCACCCCTTTGTTCTCCGCGGGCTCCTGCGCTGCTTCAGCCTGTTGCCTGGGTCGGCGCCGCCCAGGAAGCAGCCCCCGGCCTTGGCTCCATTGCCCGCGCTCAGCGGTCGAAGGCTCAGGGGCACCCCCTCCCCGGGGACCCCGTCGCCCGGCTCCTTGCTGGTGCCCTGCTGGCCGGTGTCCGGCAGGGGCTCCTGCTCCTTGTCGCGTTCCTCCAGTCTGGAGCTTTTTTTTCTCCTTCCCGCTAGGGGAGTCTAGGATCAGAGTCAACAGACTGTCCTCTGCGCGCAGTGTGCGGGACTCGGGGGGCTCCGCTTTTCGCCACTCCCCTGGGATTCCGCCTCACAGCCCCGTCTCCCCCTGCCTGAGCCTGGGTCCCCAGGGTCTGGCCTCGAACTGGGGTTTAGAGCAGTCCAGACTGAGGCTCAGCACCGCCAGAGGCTTTGTTTCTTCCCGCTAGGGTAATCCAGCATCAGAGTCAACATTCAGTCCTCTGCACACAATGTGCGTGACTCCGGGGTCCCTGCTTTTCGCTGCTCCCCTGGGATTCCGCCTCACAGCCCCGTCTCCCCCTGCCGGAGCCTGGGTCCTCAGGGTCTGGCCCATAACTGGGGCTCAGCACTGCCCGTTCGGGGGTTCAGCCCAGGCTGGGGGTTTTATTTCTTTCCTGCTAGGGAACACCAGGCAGCACCCAGCCCTCTCCTCCTCTCCGGCTGCGACCTCTCCTCGCGCGCTTGCTTGCGGGCATGCAGCATGTCTCCGTACCTTAGGCTTTTTTCAGCTCCTCTGATTTTCCTTCTGGTTTTCTCTTTCCTTCTTGTTGTAGAATTTTCAGTCAGTCGACTACCTGTAGCTCTGGGCGATGTCCACTCTACATTTTAGTTGTATTCCATTGAAATTGTTGTGTGCTGCTGCGGTTAGATGTCTACCCGAGCAGCCATCTTGGATCCTCCCCTGAGACAGTGATTTTATTTTCCATGGATATATGCCCAGAAGTGGGGTTGCTGGATCATATGATACTACTACTTTTCATTTTTTGAGGAACCTCCATACTGTTTTTGATAGTAGGAACCTCCATACTGTTTTTGACATCCCACCACAGTGCATAAGGGTTCACTTTTGGGACAGTCATTTTAAGAAGCAAGTGTGCTTTCTTCACTCTCTGCTTGGGCTCTGAGCCCTTAGGAGATGGTGTAATTATTAACTAAGTGGAAGGAGTCTGGATCCCTGCTTTTATATGTGGATTGCCAGAAATGTCCACAGTGGTAGGTTCTGTGAGTGAGAAATAAACTATTTTGAGAGTTACTGATTTGAAATTTTTAAAAATATATTTTTATTTTTATTGATTTCAGAGAGGAAGAGAGAGATGGAAACATCAATGATGATGGCCACCTCCTGCATGCCCCCTACTAGGTATCAAGCCTGAAATCCAGGCATGAGCCTATATTTTGACTAGAATTGAACCTGCGACCCTTCAGTCCGCAGGCTGTTGCTCTATCCATTGAACCAAACTGGCTAGGGCTGATTTCAAGTTTGTGATAGCTGCTAGTGAGACCCCAGACAATAAACCCGGTAGGTTTCATTGCTCCCTCCCAATCATCTCAAACTGTTTGTGGTTATGGTGTAGGACTCATTTTATTTTATTTTTTATATCTCCAACATTTCAGGAACTGATCCTTTGGTCTATACCCTATTTGACAAGATAAGTCTCTTGATCAT